AGCAGCTGCGACGGCTGCGGGACCCCCACCCCCCACCCCACCCCCCCTGCAACGGCTGCTGGGTGCCATGGGTGCAACGGGTGCAATGGCCCCCCCCAGTCCATGCAATGGGTGCTGGGTGCAAGGTGTGCAGTGGGTGCAACGGGTGCAACGCCGCTCCCCATCCATGCAACGGCTGCAATGGGCACTGGGTGCAACGGTGCAATGGGTGCAACAGGCGCTGGGTGCAGCGCCCTCCCCATCCATGCAACGGGTGCGATGGCTGCAGCAGGCACTGGGTGCAACGGGTGCTGTGGGTGCAATGCCCCCCCAGCCCAGGCCATGGGTGCTGGGTGCAGTGTGTGCAACGCCTGCAACAGCTGTGATGGATGCAACACCCCCCTCGCATCCGTGCAACGGGTGCAACGGGCGCTGGGTGCCACGGGTGCAGCGTGTGCAACGGCTGCAACAGCTGCAATGGGGGCAACGCCCCCCCCCCCCCCCGCAAGCAAGTGCTGGGTGCAGTGTGTGCAATGTGTGCAGCGTGTGCCATGGCTGCAATGGGTGCAACGCCCCTCCCCATCCATGCAATGGCTGCAACAGGTGCCAGGTGCAATGGGTGCCATGGGTGCAACAGGTGCAACAGGTGCAACGCCCCCCCCCCTCCATGCGATGGGTGCTGGGTGCAGCGTGTGCAATGTGTGCAGCGTGTGCAATGGCTGCAATGGCTGCGACGGCTGCAATGGGTGCAACGCCCCCCCAGTCCATGCCATGGGTGCTGGGTGCAGCGTGTGCAATGGGTGCAACACCTCCCCCCAGTCCATGCCATGGGTGCTGGGTGCAATGCGCACAATGGCTGCGACGCCCCTCCCCCTCCATGCAACGGCTGCAACAGGCGCTGGGTGCAACGTGTGCAATGGCTGCAATGGGTGCAACGCCCCCCCCAGTCCATGCGATGGGTGCTGGGTGCAGCGTGTGCAATGGGTGCAACGGGTGCAACGCCCCCGCCCAATCCATGCCATGGGTGCTGGGTGCACGGTCTGCAGTGGGTGCAACGCCACCCCCAGGTCCATGCAACGGGTGCTGGGTGCAATGGGTGCAGTGTGTGCAATGGCTGCAATGCCCCCCCCCCCCCCCCCCCCCAAACGGGGGCGGGGGGGAAGGGGGGGAACGGGGGCAACAGCGGCACCGGC